TTTTCAATATTAATTTTTCTATTCAGTTTGGTACCATCAACACTATGTCGTCTGCATATGCTACTGCTTTCATCCCTTCTCCATAGAGTTATAGTTGTATTCTATTCAGCGCCACCACCCATTAAAGCGGGGAAAGGACACCTCCTTGAGAAGTACCTCTGCTTACGTAGCTTTTTCGGGTCGTTGAACCATTTGATTCTATAATCATTCTATCCATTAGAATCGAACGTGTCCATCTGCACACCATGTGGTCTATGCCGCCATGGGACAGAGACTCAATAATTGTGATTATTTCTATATTGTTAAAAGGGGAAACAATAAAATGCCTTTCTGTCTGTATCTTGATTTGTCGGTATTTTGACTATCGGAATTTTAAATTTCGAGATTTTGATTGTCATTATGTTATACACCCTGTTAAGAGTTCCATCATTACCTCGACATCTTGGCTTAGGATGGTGTTGGTGCGGGTGTCCTTCCACCTCCACAATAGGAGATGGGCGTAAAATCAAAGGTTTATTCATCCATATCCCCAATTGTGGGAATTATTAAGTACCCCTCTTAGTTCGTAAAAATAATGTGCGTACCAAACCAATTTAGGTTGCACCCCTCTTCGACACGGCAAGGCGACGAACGCTAATGGAATGATATATTTAGTGTGTATTAATTTTAATCGAGCTCACAATTTAAAAAGCCTGGCTATTTGACAAATATGTATACCCTGAATAGTCCTGTGATAGGTTTGTACCACTCAGAAGGAAAAGTGGGAGACCCAGCGAGCTGATTTAGCCAAGTCCGTATGTCAGCCAGTCCGTCTGTATATACGCGAACTAGTTTCGCAGTTTTTGAGATATCTATCTGAATTTTTTCTCAAATCTTTTACTCTCCAAGAGGCTACTCCCTTGTCGGAATTGCTGATATCGGAAGATTATAGCACTATTTTATGGAAAACTTTCTTCTTTGACAAGATATCTTCACGAAATTTGGCATAGATTATTTTCTAAGGCAATACTGCTATCTCCGACCAAATTGTTCAGGTCAGACCACTGTAGCATATAGCTGTAATTCAATTTGTTCAGATCCAACTACTATAGGATATAGCTTCCACATAAACTGACCTTTTAAAATCAAGATAATCATATTTTTCTACCCTTTCATGCTATAAGAAATGCACCTTGTGAAGTGTATTATAGCTTCAGTGCACCCGAAGTTTCTAGAAATTTTAAAGTTTTTCTATTACAATGGTATATCATAGCTTTCAGAGCTTTTACTCGTATTTTGTTATATTAATATTACATAAAAGATACTATTGCTATTCCAGAACGTTTTTCTAAAGCGTGATATTACTTCCAACCTCATTAAAAAAACGGTGACCGTTAATGACTCGGCAGGCTCGCTCAACAGACTCTGGTATATGAAAACTATAAACTATTTAATTAGAAACCGCACATATTTCCATATACATTCAATTATTTTCTAATGACTACCAATGCTATGACCTCAACTCAAACGGTAACCACAAAATAAAATATTAAATTTCATTTAACAAAGTAAACACTAAATTCGAACAATTTATTGCCAACACTATGACTAGATGAGTGGTACTTTCCTGCAGCATAGCAGCCAATTAAATTAGTAAAACCTCAAAATTTTAGGGGCATTATTGGAGAACACCTTACACCCCGGACAAACTACAAGTGCCGGTTCATATGTGTATGTTTGTTGCAGAGTGTTTCTACTTTCATTATATTGCCAAGGAGCTGCAGAGTCGGAGCCACCGAGATACAGTTCTAATGAATTAATTAATTTTAGTGCTGCAATTGACTGCAAAAGCCGCAACTAAGTGAAGTGAATGTGTAAGCGAACATGCATATATAACTACCTACACGTCGGACACATATAACATGTAGACGTTTTGAGACATCCGCCATGCTCTAAGTGTCTGTCGGTCGAAAGCAACTGTGTCCTGTCGAACAGCAGCCGTAGTCTGTTGTTGTATGCAAGTAAATAGACTCGATTTAGCTATGACACCACAAACATTACGTTCTTTATTTAGATACGCTCCACACCCATGTGACATCGCAATTACCACCATTTCTCGTCTGACTGTCCTAACCGCAGTCATCTTCACCTGCCTCGCCCAGAAATGCTATTTGTTGCTGAATGGCACTGAGGAACGATTTCCAAGTGCTTTACACTCTACTTCGTATGGAACTTCATGTTCATGGTTGATGACGCGAGCGTTATCCTAGGAGCAGCTGCTGGGTGCGAGGGTTAGCATTAAAAGCCACATAATTTTATAAGTGTCACTCACCAACTGCTTTCACATTTCGGCTGTCTAGGCACAGCTGCACTGCTGACCTAAATTGTGGTAAATCAACGAAAGCCCAGAATGTGCATCAGTACCGTTGTGGCACAGCTAAACTATTATTTTGTGTTGCAATTGTTTTAAGTCGGTATGTGGATAATATGCGGGATTGCTTTCTCACGGCTGACGGCTGAACATGGAAATTGTACATTATTGGCGGTAAATCGTCAACTCAGCCTCTAAGTACAAACTTACGTATTTATATGCAAATGTATACCAATGAGGGGTAACTTTTCTGATCACAGAAATAGTATAGGAGTTGCTGTGCAGCTTTTAAATAGATCCAGTAATCCTGCTTTATTGAAGAAGCAGGTACAGAAGCAGAGGGTTAAAGTGTTAGTAATAATTAAAACTTAATAATAATGAGCTTAGCTAGTATCTCCAAACCCCGAATAGGGTACGTTAAGTTTACCACACGTTTGAACCACCCAGAAGGAAGCGTCGGAGGCCCTATAAAATCTAATATAAAGTATATATATAATAAGCTGGGCCGATATATCCATGTCCATTTGTCTGTCTGCCTGCCGGTGTATAAGCAAACTAGGATCTCGTTTGTTGAGATATCGATCTGCAATTTTGCTTTAGAAGAAGTTGCTCATTTGTCGGAACCACAGTTAAATAAGAAATTATATCTGCTTTTTAAATGTATTGGGGACATTAAAAATTAAATAAAAGGTTTTGAGCTGTTTATAGAGAAGGAGTCAATGATAACCCCGCCCTCTCCCCATAGTTTTTGTTAAAAACTATTAAAAGTGTGATAAATCAATAACTAAATGCGTCAGAGACAATAAATTCTACACCCAGTGTGGCACAAGAGTGCTTTATAGGAGCCGGTATCAAAATTGGACGGTGGGCGGGGCACATCCCCATTTTTGGGTGAAACCACCTATCTCGGGAACTGCTCGACCAATTTCAACCAAATTAATTACATAACATTCGTACAATATGTCCATGGTACATTGCGAAAATGGAGGAAATTGGATCACAACCACGCCTACTTCCCCTATAACACAATAGAATTTAAATACCTGATTCTTTCACATTCCAGTATACAAATAAAGCACCAATTATTATATCAGGATAAAATTTTGCACGAATAGTCCCTTTAAAGTATGCCACCCTGTGACCAAACATTCACCCAAAATCGAACCAAAACTGTTCAAGCCCCTAGGTACCGAATAGGTGGACCCCAATGCCTATAGTTGACTTTTTTCCAAAAATATCGATCAATGACAATGAATAATATATAATTGAAATTCGGAGAGAATATTTTCCAGATAATAGTATGTATGAGTGTCAAAAATGGGTTGAATCGAGTCAATATTTTCTTAAACCCCCATATACCTAATATAAAGACTTTCAAAATTCCGGGTGGCTTTATACCGCATATATCAGCCAATATGTGAGTTATTTTAATAAAAATAAGAGAGCGTATTTTCCTAATAACAGAGTATCTTTGAGCCTAAAATAAGTGAAATCGGGTAAAAACTTTCCCTAGGCCCCATATAACTAATCACAGCATTTTCAAACATCCGGTTGGATTTACTCCATATATTATATGTTGATGACGGTATGTGAAGTACTTTAGTGAAGCTCAAGGAGCATTTTATTCTGTTAATAGTATGTGGTAATGCCAAAAATAAATCAAATCGGGTCAACACTAAACCTATCTTTCATATACCTAACATAAGCAACATTTCAAACTTCCGGTTGGCCTTATGCCATATATATCAGTCAATATGTAAAATATCTTAGCAAAATGAATTGCTTAATATTGGATATACTATAGTTCAACGTATAATATTGAACATACTATAGGTTTTTGTCGAAAATATGTGAATTTAGTTACGAATTACCAAAACTCCCAAATACTATATACGAGTATATTGATATTCGTTATTTTATTAAACCTTATGCCGAACAAGCTCAATGTGTGAGTTATGTTTTTATAAAATTGCCTGAAAATATGATCTAAGTATACCTCAGCAATGTCAAAATTAACTCAATTAGCCCATTTTTTTCTCTGTTCCTAATATAGCCTGTATAATAATTTCCGACTTTCCACCTGATAAAATGTGAACAAGTTTTCTTAAAAATTGTGTGGGAATATGAATTAAATAGGTCATAAATTGGTCCAATTCTTGTATCCAGTTGAGATTTTAATACACTTTTAGCTAACGGAAAGTATAATACAGTAATAAAACTAACTGATTTTAATCCATTTATAATTTCATTGAGTAATGAATGCTGAATTGGTTCGCAATATTTTTTAATATTAAGATTTCCTAACACCTGAAGGTATTTTCCCTGCTTTGATCCTTGCAAGTTGCAAGACTATAAAATGTTCGGTTCCACCCGAACTTAGGACTTCCTTAGTTGCTTTAGCATGTATTTTCCCATCTGACTGTTTTGCTAAGAGATAATTTTCTATATAACGTTAATATATAAGTTTTTCAAATAGTTTTTTTCTTTTCTTCTCTCCTATAACAAAAAACAAATATAACAAAATTATCGTATGCGCATTTACCTTCTCTTAATTTTAAGATTGCTGCTAACCTTAATTCGATTACTGTTGAGTATATTTGAAGATTTTAACGAATAATATTAAATTGTGTTATACTTTTTGTTTATGCAGCGATATCACGCGAGGATGGCGAAGATTCACATCATCATCATCATCACCACCACCATCACCATCATCATCGTGGGGGGCATGGACATAATCACGGTAATAAAGTTCCATACAATGGTTATAATTCCGAAGAATATCTGGATCGTCTGGAACCAAATGGAAATATACCAGCCGACAAGTCTAACTGCAGATATGGAGGTAAGAAAATTGGAAAATTCATTTAATTTTGAACAGACCTAGCTATGTCCTAACATTCAGAAAGAAAAATAAATTTCTCAAGTGCTTTAATAATCCACTTTAATTATCAACATTTAACTCAAATACCTACAATTGTATATTCTGAGTATTGTTTTTAGCATAAATTAATTACTGCGACTCCGGCATGCTTCAGTTTGTCTCTTTTGAGTTGTGAAAGAAGCGCATGTACTTATGTAATAATTAGGTTTTCCTGTTCGAAATCGTGCATTACCGTTTTATCTCTATGCTTCCCACCCCATTTATTGTCCACCCTCATTTGCTGCACACTCGCTTGCTGTCGCTATCCTTCTACACCAAATCCTTACTGCTTAATCTCATCTGTAATCTTTACAAACTAATTTCATGTATTGCACACACACATACACACATTTTTTATATTCTCAAGTGTGCTCATAATTCATGAATAGCTTCAAAAGCTAGAGGAAAGTAACTGTTAAACCGGAACTAATTATAACTTCCGCCAGGCACAGCTGCACACAAACGCACACTCGCGCATACAAACCTAGCGAACATATGATCCCCCTGGGTAGCTTTTAATCCTTATGTTGAGCGTGTCTGCCTCGATATACATATGTATGTGTGTGGATATTCGATATGCAAGCCTTGAATCGATTCGATGCTTGCTTTACTACAAATAACTCCATGAAGTTTTTGTATAAAATGTAGGTCAAACTTTACACGCACAAATCTCATGCGGGGTACCATCTCACCCCTGCGTGTTCGGGGCTTGAAATTCATGCAACATTTGCGGGCGCAACTCCATTTCAACTGTCTACCGGCTGACACGATTTGGCAAACTTTTGTTTTTCAAATTAGAGTAATTTATCAAAAAAGTGAAAGAAAAACCCTAAAATTAGAATAAACATAAATAAATAAATGTGTGGTTCTTGCGCCTCATTAATAATTTCTTTATGTGAGCTCATTTTACCACTGGCTTTCGCGTTCGCATTGTTTCATTGAAATCAATTATTTACTCCACTAACTTAGCTACCCTGCAGGAAATCGATGAATTACGGAGAATTTTGGTTATTTTGGCACGCGTGGGCTCAGTGAATGCAGAAGATAATATATCCTTCCTTTCCGACTAATTACAGCAAATTGATTAAATAACTAGTCGAAATGAGAAAGTAGAATTAATAATTTTAATTAATGTTTTACGATATTTTTCACTATGTATCTAAAGGGCCCGAAAAATATCCCAAGTATTGCATATAACTTCCAAAAGGTCCCATGACTCTGATATTTTCATAAGTCAAGAAACCTCTTCATGCTCACATTACCCCTTAAAAGCTACGCGGTGCTTTCTGACCATTGAGTTATTGTGAACAATACAAATATACATATATACTGAGACGCCTCAGTCTTTTTAGATGTTCTTTTAAACTTTTTTCCATGTTTTTTCTTTTCGCAGTCTCTTCTGTACTCCATTCATTTTCTATATTATAACTCCTCGTTGGAATAATGTAGTGCAATAAATTAAATTGTCGATGTCATGAAGCAGCGTAGCAATAATGTAGCGGCATAAGTACGAGTATGCCTACAATATCCCGATGCTATTGCTTTGTCTGTTGAGCAGCGGATTTGGTTGTGCAACTTTTCGTTATTTGTTGTACATATGTTCGTGTATTAATACGGCATACTTAAGGGAATTATCGGTTATTTGTGCGAGTATATTCGAGTTCCCACATTATTTGTACGGTAGTCAGCAATATGAGTTGCATATTAATAACCTGCTGCCCTTAGAAATTCCCGACAACTTTGCACACTTCTATATTTTCGTACGAACTTTAATAATAATCGAGTAATTGGATTGCACTTGAAGGTGGAGTGGCACATGCACAAATGATGATATGTACATATATATATATTATACTATGTATGAGCATGATTACTTTTGGATTTGGTGGAATTAAAATGTGATGTTTCTAAATTATGGATTAACATTGTTTGATTTATGTGCCCAATATTACCTCAACTTAGAAACTGATTTAAATGAATGTCTGTGCAACACAGAATACTTTGCTTGTATATCATCTTATTTCCTTTCTACGAACTCTAACTTCAAAAGTTTAGATTTTGTAATAATTGTTCTAAAGTTTTAAGGGACACACCTAGAGTGAAATCTTTCATATTTCGATAGTTTATACCCTTAAAAATAACATATTTTTCCAATTTGCTTTATGAGCTAAGACAAATGATCCGATCATCATAACTTCTGCCTGTTCTGTATATAATTCTACATACAATGACCTGTCGGTTTTTGATCTGATCTGGGGTAAAATTTAACTTAAAAAAAAACAAAGCAGGCCATTTCAACAATTTTTGATTTTTTGTTAACCGGATTCCGGCTGATTAAACGTCAAAAATGTTACTAGATGATATCGTTCGTACAATGACCTACGGTCGAAAAAAAAATTAATAATACGGCGTTTTTATAAACAATTGAATTAAATGTATGTTAAACTGGTAAAGTACAAGTACACACTATGCATCTTATTATATGCAAATTTCTCAACAGTCGTACCAATTAAAACGGTTGTTTTTTAATTTGTTGGCAATTTATGACTATTATATGATATATTATATCATAAGCAAAAATGACGACTGACTACTCTGTTTCCTGTGGTTAACAACCAGTAGTGTGGTATGTTGCAAATTTTGATGTACGCTTGTATAGCCTACTTTCCTACTTACGCTTCATGATACATAATAATCAGTCAAATGTCACTACAATAAAAATGTTTAGATGCTAATAATTATTTTCCATCTCAAATCAGTTGATTTCCTCGCAATTTGACGATCGTTGTTGAAAATTAACCAACAGTATGTCCAGCTTTCAACAAAAAGTCGAGGTCCATTTAAATTATTCAACACTAAAAAATTATGTTGTTTCCTGTGAAAAAATAAAATAAGCAACCCCATTTTGTATAATTTTCTGTAGCTATCATATTCTGCTCCACATTAATATCAGAATGGGATGTTTTCATATAAATTGTGAAGAAGTAGGAGTAAGGTAAGGCTATTGTAGACAATTGGTCTTAAGCAATTGTCTGATTTTGACTGTATACAGAAACAACATGACACATAATATTGTAAACACAAATGCTTCTCTAATATTCGTACATATATGATAAAGGGGTCAGTTTGTGTTGAGTGTCCACAATAGAAATTTACCACTTTACTTTCATATTCAGCTTCAGTTAAATACCAAAATGCTATGGTTTCTATCAATGTTGAGAAAGTATGAGTAAAGTAAATCGAATTCGTAAATTGGTAAATTAATATTCTTCCTCATGAAGTAAATTTTTAGTCGCGTTTATATGATTTGAAATAAATTTACTAGTTATATATTATTAAAATTTATTATCTATTATGGTTTATACTATAATTACGTTAAAAAGTTATGCCAACTAAATTATTCAAATTCCTTTCTTTGCTGAATTTTAATGCCTTAGACTGTTTAAAAATTTATATGCAAATGTGGTTAAATCGAGTTTCTTAATTAACGTCATTATACTATATAATATATTTCAGAGTTCTTTAGAATAATAAATTAAAATAATCTAAAATTTTCATGTCTTATAATGGCAAAGGAAACCTGAATAGTGTACAAATGGGCTCTATGGGCTCTAGCTCAACTTACGCTCGGGAAGGACTTGTGGCAGAAATAGTTAGACTATTGTACCGTAATGAAACAATAAAAAGCTTAAATTATTGTTCATAATGATGCAACAAAAACGACTCGGAAGAGTAAACATTTTTAAAGACCTTGACGTAAGAGTGACAATGGTCAAGGAAATTGACAGAAGTAAAGAATGAAGAAAATTATGGAATAACATAAAACAAAAAGCATGAAGAGAAAGATGTGTGCGCTTGTATGTGTGCGATAGTAACAAAGGAGCTGTTGAAGATATATGGCACTCTCAACCGTTCGTAACTGTTATTCATACTACTTTGCATATGTACTTGTAGTATGTTTGTTTACGTATACTTGTGCCCCACACAGCACAGCGAATGCGGTGAGTAAACTCGATATAATAATAAGGATGTCATAATATAAATTGCCATATTATGTAAACAATCCAGCAACAATTCACTTACTATTCAACATTATGCGCGCTTGAGTGCAGGATTTGAATGATGGGGGTAAACGAGTCTGTGTGTGTGGGCTTCCTGTCTCCGCCATAGAACTGGGGCAAGCGGCAGATGCACAGCCAGCGCGTCACAGTAAATGAGCGGCATGAACGCTATAAAACAACGGAAATGAAAATATTAGCAAACAACTCCACACACATTCACTCATACAAACAAATACATGCCATAAACACGCGCAACCGCTCAAACGCAGATTGTAATGAAATGTCAGTAAATTTAATGTGTTGTTAAGTTGCTTTCTACGCTTTAATATTAGTTGCTGAACTCATATTTATCTGTGTGTGTGAGTGTGAATGAATGGAACTTTGTGTGCAACGGCATGTGGCATGTTGTCATAATAAGGACAAATGAATCGCTGCACAGCCAGCCATGTCGGCTGCCTTGCCGCTGTCGCTGTGGCTGTTATCATTCACTCATCTTTGTGCCGCCACAACAATAACAATCTCCTCACAGCCTGACTGAATGGCTGGCTGATTGTCTTGGCGACGGTCTGGTTGCACACAGTCACTCACGCACACAATTTATTGTATTCAAATACATACTTACAAGTCAAGAGGGATCTGCTTGCAACGCAGACAGAAGTACTGTGCGGAAGATACACGGAGTGTAATGGAATTTGAGAAACTCTCAAAGCTGGCTGCTTTCCGTTTTGCTACTTGATTACTAAAACATTGCAAATTACTCATTTTCCAGGCGAATTGGCATAGCAGAGTTCAACTTATTGATGTGAGGACCTGCATATACCATAGTTACGTACCACACATATATTCCTATAAGAGTCGGTG